GAGAAAGAGACATACACACTAAATGGAAAATGCCCATTTGAAATTAAGATCCTCTGAGAGCCCCCTTGGTAGGACCTGCATTCCTGTCCACTACCTTACAGGCCTCCTCCCTTTTCTTTGTGTGTGTGGATTGGTAGTGGGGTATTAGAGGCATACGGGTGGGAGGACTTTTTCCCCTTTTATTCTCTTCAGTGAATTTTGAGAACCATTTGAAGTGCTCTTGGCTAGAAAACTATGCTCAAAGGAGTAAACATGAAAAAATTCCCAGGTTATAAGGCAAATCTACCCTTACAACCTTGGGTAGATCAATGCTATAACACCTAAATCATTTCAATTAAAAGAAGATAGGTGAGCACAAGCTGCACTGTACCATTATTGAACAAAGAAAAAAACAGTAATTGTTTTTGCTAAGCTGTGTTTATATTAACAAAAGCCTCAGAAACAGTTTAGCCCTTGAAATTCTTCTTCCTGTGACCTTGGGAGATTACCACTTAGGAGCAGGAACTGATTATTTACTGATCATGTGTGGGTGAAGAAATTTTTGCAAGCGTTCCAAGTGTGACTTCCAAATGGGCATAAACACAGATACATGCAGAGGGCGCAGAAATTCAGGACAATTGTGATACTCTGTGATACTCACAAATTTGGGTCACTCTCTCAATTAGTTTAGCTCCTCATCTGTGTGAGTACAGAAACAAAAGCTACTTGGAGCCCTCACGGATTGGCAGAGCATCTTAAAATACCGGCCTAAAGAGGCAGTGCTGTAATTCAAAACACACTTCCAAAATAAACTCAGCAGGGCAGCGCTGGGGACTTACCATGCCAGCCCCCCGCCCCACCCAGTTTGAAACTTCAGTCCGGTTGATGGTTACAATACTCCTCTATAAGCCTGCTTCTCCGGGAAGGAATCAATCATTCTGAAATGCAGTCAAGACTTCTGCCACACTCCCCTCCTGTGTTAGTCACAATCAATCTTTGCCTTGTGGTGGAGGGGATTAGGCATACGTGGTGTGCTTGAGAATGTGTGCTTACGTGAAGGCCAGAAGGCCAGGCATTGGACATAAGAAGTTGGACCAAGGCTTGAACCTTGGAAGTTTCCAGAGATGTGGGGTGATGCCCAGTTACAAGTGCAACGTGTCAGAACTAAATCCCAATTCCATCCTGTTTGTCTCAGCCATTTCTGCTACCGGAGCAAACTCCAGTGTTTGGAGCAGAAGTACAGATCGTCTGTTGTACTTTAAAGTGGGTGTTGTTGGTTTTTTTAGGAGCTAATTTGGCTGTGCAATACCATCAAGAGGAGCCACTTGTAGATTATATTTAGGTATGTGTATGTTCTTCCACTTGTGGCGGTGCTGAATCATATCCATCTTCTCTTTATTATGTAACTCCACTCTTACAAGTAGGGCTTCAAGACTGCCCTGCCAGAGAGGCTCCACCCAGCTATGCTCCACCCAGCAGAAGGGGCTCTGCTATTCTCTCCACCTGGCCTGGCTTGACAGCCGGGAAAAAGAGGAGAGTGGCCAATTGGTCTGTGTTTGCCTGGGAGTTTCCTGGTTTTACCTGAAAGTCCTGTGTTCCAGTCACTGTCCCCCAACTAGTCCCAGGAAAAACTTGGGAAGCTGGTCACCCTAAAAGGTCTGGATGTTTGCCCATTTCTGGCCTCAGGTGATGAGCGTGTGGACATGAGCACTGGGTCCTGGTGGCTCTGGGTTCCATGGAGAGGTCTGCTGTGATCACGGAGAGGACAATTCCCAGTTCCATGCAGAGCCATGGACAGGTGTTAAGGAGTTCCCCTGTGCTGAGGAAGGCGATGGTTCCACAGGCGAAAGGCTTCTAATTCTATTACATTGCAGTCAGACACAAAGCCAGGAACCACTGTGTGGGGGAGGGAGGGGAAAGAGAGTTGGTGATAGGTAGGAGGCTATGGAAGAGAACACAGGCTTTGAAGCCCAGCTGGGTTCAAATATTAGTCATGCCACTGTTTCTGGAGCCTCTCTCAGCCTCAGTCTCCTTGACACACATGACTCTTAATTCTCAACTTCTGGACAGTATTTTCCCCATGAAAAGGCGATCAAATTCCAATTTACTTCTCCTAGACTTCAGAATAAGGCACTATCCTCAGCTTTTGTTTGTTTGTTTGTTTACTAGATTTGTGTTGTTTCTAAAAGGATATTACATACATTTAGTGGGCATAAAATGTATGCACTGTAATTAAGATGTATAGGAATGTAAATTGGTTTTTCTATAACTCAATTACATTTCCTTATGAGCCTCATGTCCACTGGTGGAGGGGAAAATCTTGCCTCTTGAGTATTGTTCAACTTAAGACTAGACTTTTCCAGGTGAGACTCTTAGTTTTCATTTACTCTGTTGAAGACTACGCTCTAGTCCTCTGTGTTTCCTTCTCCTCTAGGAAATCAGGGTGTGTATGTACCAGTGGCCTCTGGAAGAGATGTCCCTTCAGAGCCCTCTGTTTAGCGCATTCTGCAGTGGCCCATACAGCTGAGGCTCTGTATGAAGGTGACTGCATCTATTGGTGGTGGCTGGTCCTTAGTGCCCTGCACTTATATTTGCTGCTGATGTCCATAGATCTGCTGAAACCCCAATCACAGGGTCCACGTATTCCTTCTCAGCCTGACCCCATACCGCTGCAGCCCACTGACCCTCTTGGCTGTCTTTCCTTACACTTAATGAAGAAGCATTAATGAGCATATCTTGGGCCCTCTTTGCCTAAATATGCAAGGGTACTGTGGTGGCTCAGGGCATAATACAAGGTGTTCCAAATCTTCTGGAGTTCCAGTCAGAAGGTGAGAGTAAGCCCTGAGGGCTATGGAGTCCCCTTCCAGTGGTCAGCAAACTCATTAGTCAACAGAGCCAAATATCAACAGTACAACAGTACAAAGCTCAGGAGAAGCTGTGTATACTAAAATCAACAGTAAAATTTCTTTTGAGAGCCAAATTTTTTAAACTTAAACTATATAGGTAGGTACATTGTTATTAACTTAATTAGGGTACTCCTAAGGCTTAGGAAGAGCCATACTCAAGGGGCCAAAGAGCCGCATGTGGCTCACAAGCCGCAGTTTGCCAACCACTGCTAGCCTGTTTGGTGTTTCTAACCTCTATCTGCCCCGCTACTCAATACAATTTTGATGGTGGAGTTGGGCTGGATCAAAACTACTCAGGGACTTTGACCGAATTCTAATGCTCTTCTGTGCAACATTTCTCTTGGTTCTAACCCCAACCATTTCCATGCAGAGGAAACTACTTTATTATGTTTACAAAATGTCCTAGGTACTTCTTTGTTCTAGACTTATTGTAAAAATTCTATGGTCTGAGTCATGCAAGCCTCACCATTCAATCTTCCAAATGAAAATCTTTTCAATATAAAACCAGTTCTTTCTTTTTCTTTCCCTTTCCCCTCCTCTCCTCCCCCTCCCTTTTCCCCTCCCTCCCTTCCTCACTTCCTGCTTGCCTTTCTCCCTCTCTCCCTCCCCCAGCATATCTTTTGCAAATCTAATGTGCTTTGGCATGCAAGCAATTATTACTCTCTGTGTAATCATTAAAGTAAATATGAGTATCACAACAAATCAACTCCTGAACTTCAATGGCTTAATTTAATAGAAGGTTTGTTTCTCACTTTTGGAACAATTTGGTGCAAGCTAGGGATGGGGTGTTCTGCTCCATGTGGACACTCAGGGACCCAGGAACTCTGTCATCTGCAGCACAAAGTTTCTAAGACAGGGTGAGGAAGGTACATCCACTTGTCTCGGTAGGGGCACATATCACTAGTTTGTATTCAGTTGGGTAAAACCGATTATATGGCCCCACCTAGATGCAAGAGAGGCTGAGAAATGTAGTCCTTGCCTGCACAGCCACTTCCCAGCCATACTTCTAACTAGGGATTGTCCTTCCATGTGCTGATTTGTTGCAAACTTCTAAAATGTATGGCGCATTGTACTAGGCATTTGAAATAAAAAGATGATCAAGACATGGTCCTTATCCTCAAGGGGTTTACTTTAAATATAGATAAGCTATTAACTTTTAATACTGCTTCTTGCTGGTTTAGAGCAATAAGACTCAGCCTTTTGGTTTGTCTTTATTGATGTAAGGATAATGAATAGAGAATGCAGGGAAAGAAAATCAGCTAATAACCAAATTGAAAGCTGAGGGAGGTCTTGAAGGTCATCTGTACAAATCCTTTGTCCCTGGATAAGAAAACCTGAGGCCCAGAGAACTGAAACGACTTGTTCAAATTCCCCTAGCTAATTAGCGCCAGAACCAAGTTAAAACCCTGCTCTTTTCATCTCAAAGTCCTAAACACTTTTCAATATATTGGGATCTGATGACTGTGTAAAATATAAGAGTTTATGAGCTCAGCTTTTAAAAATATGTTTTTAGGCAAATGAGGCTAACGGTGAGTGGAATTTCCCAATTTGGTGCTGTCCGTGGATAACACAGTGAGCATTCACCATTAAACCCACAAAACATACGGGCATCATTGCTTCATTGGGAAATTACGGTGCCTCTTTGAAATATTGTCTTTACATCAAGCTTGGATTCTCCGTGAACTCAACATTTCAGTTCATATGCCCCAAATTTCACCTTAGGTATTAATTTATTGGGTTTCATTTGCCCAACTAGCAGTCTGATGACTCTCAAAAGTTGGAACAATGTTTGTTTCAACATTCAGTGCTCTCTACCACATATACAAAGCCACTGGCCATATCTATAAATTAGTTTAGCTTGTATTTAATAACATAATTATTGTGATCTCTCGCAAAAGACTCAAATAGATCAATTTAAATGGCCATGTAACTATGATCTGTCAACTGTGGTTGAATTGGCATTGTCAGCTTTTACACAGAGATCTAAGGGAGCTTGGAGATTTCTGAGACTTAATCCTGACCTGTGAATCCCTAGACAGAGGCATACCCAGTATGTGATGTAATATAATCCTTATTGGAGATTTCCCAACTCTCATACTAATGTATACTTCTCAGATGGATCCTGACCCGTGAAGCTGGAATTCTCCCACTATGCCTTATTTCTGAAGATTCTGACTCTCCATCCTGGAAGATGGTAGTGGTGGAGATATTTCAGAAAAAATGGGGAAAACAGTTTACCAATATGTAAGGTAAGCTCCTTGAGAATAAAGACTATGTCTTAATTGCCTTTTTATTCTTAATGTCCCAGAGCTCAGCTGTTCGGTGAATTCTGTTACTGCTCTGGCAGTTGAGACCTTGGGGAAGTTTAGTCTTGGGTTCTGAAGCTAAGGAGAAGCTGTGTATACTGTGAAATCATAAATCTCCTTCCAGCAGTAGGTCTCCTTTGAACCAGAGCACACGGAAGTAGAATTTCTAGTTCCCTGGACACTCTGAAGAGGCTCTGGCTCTGTTGCAATCTAAAACCATGCACTCAGCTCTTCAGCTGGAAGAAACAGAGTGACGTGGGAACCCTAAGTCCTTAATACATAGATAAAATGAAGTTTTTCTACAGTCCCAAACTCAGATATTTTAGCTACAATTATTTACCTATGTTTCCCCAAAAAGACTACTAAGACACTGATTTATTTTGCACAGTAGTTTTTAAGGTATGATTTAAGATTGTGTTGAAATGCCCAAGTTTCTCCTAAGTGGAAAAAAGTCCATTTCATGTGGCTCAAATAAGGCCCACTGAGATTTTTCACCAAGAGCAAAATTACCTTGTGCATGTATCAAAAACAGCTGAAAATAAGCTGCAATTTTTTTCAGCTCCAACATCATCAGACTAATGGATTCCAGTCAATTAGTTGGTATTGTTTTTTCGATGTGGACAGCCAGAAGGGCCCAACTTAAGCTTGACCACATTCTTTTTTGAATCCTATCTAATAAAGAGGTAATATGCAAATTGACCATCACTCCAACACACAAGATGGCTGCTCCCATGTGGACACAAGATGGCCGGCAGGGGAGGGCAGTTGGGAGGGACCAGGCCTGTAGGGGAGGGCAGTTGGGGGCAACCAGGCTGGCAAGGGAGGGAAGTTGAGGGTGACCATGCCTGCAGGGGATGGAAGATGGGAGAAATCAGGCTGTCTTGGGATTGGTTAGGGCAGGGATCCTCAAACTTTTTAAACAGGGGGCCAGTTCACTGTCCCTCAGAGCATTGGAAGGCCGGACTACAGTTTAAAAGAAAACTATGAACAAATTCCTATGCACACTGCACATATCTTATTTTGAAGTAAAAAAACAAAACTTCAAAAAAAAAAAAAGGCTCTCCTAACTTCAAAAAAAAGGCCCTACTAAGTGCAAAAAAAAAAAAAAATAGACCTCCTAACTTGTTCTTACCTCGGTCCTCAGGCAGCAGCAGGCTCTGCACAGGCAAGCATGTGACTCGTCCAATCACACCCGAGACTGAGAGGAGGAGTCGAGAGACAGAGAGAAGGAGGGGAGTCACAGAGTGTGGCACACATTCCACACATGGGCACTGCGGGCCTGGGACGAGCCAGCTGCTAAGCAACAGGCAGCGGCGGCAAAAACACCCAGCAGGCCAGATAAATGTTTTTGGCGGGCCACATGTGGCCCACGGGCCGTAGTTTGAGGACCCCTGGGTTAGGGAGTGAACAGGTTGGCAGGCAGAAGAGGTTAGGGGCAATCGGGCAGGCAGGCAGGCAGGCAGGCAGGCGAGCAGTTGTGAGCTAGCAGTCCTGGATTGTGAGAGGGATGTCTGAATGCCCATTTAGGCCTGATCCCTGTGGGTCCCAGGTTGGAGAGGGTGCAGGCTGGGCTGAAGGACACACGCACCCCCGTGCACTAATTTCATGCACTGGGCCTCTAGTTTTTAAATAAGATGCAGTGCTTGGCCTGTCCCTTCTTCTGGGTTCTAAGTTTTAATGTATAGTTTAGGTTCTTGTCTTTCCCCTATCTCCTGGGCTAACACTGGAAGATTTTATCTGACTGTTCACTCAGTCAGTCATTCAGCATTACTGAGTGCTTACAATAGGTGGGCATTGTGTTGGGCATTAGAAATTTAAAGGAGAGTAAGGCATGACCCTTACATTTAAAGAGCTTACCTTGATGTTTGGAATAGGAGAAAAATGGTACCAGACTGTATCCACAGTGGGAGAGTGATCAAGCTCACAAAAGACAGTATGTGGTTCTACTCTATAGAACACCTCCAGGGATCATTATAAGATTATCTATGTGAATGGCAGCCTTAAAGGTACAATGTGAGTGATACCCTGGAGATGCATGACATGGCTGCTTTGGGAGGAGTCACAGAAAGGCTTCATGGAAGATGACACTCTTGAGGTGAGCTTTGAAACAGTGAGTACATAGACAAAACATTGAAGGACATAGCAGGGAATGACCAAGGCAGAGGGGCAAAATATGGATATGGTAAGACTAGATTAAGTGGACAAGGGGAGGTATGGTAGAAAGTGAGGTTGTAAATAGAGGCAGAAGCCAAAAAGGAAGTGTCTTACACGCCAAATAAGGAGTTTGAAATGCATTCAGTTAGCACCGGAGAAGCTTTAAAAGGCTTTAAATATGACGGTAACTTGCATTTTTGAAAGTTCACCTTGTAGGTGATGTGGAAGATGGGCTTGTGTTAGGGAAGGACTAGAGAGGTGGCTTGGAGAACAAGGAGATAATTCAAAAGGCTATTGAAATAGCCCAGCAAAGAAGTGATGGACATTTGAGTTGGGGTGGTGAAGCTCACAGTGTTTCAAGACATTTAGAAGGCAAAATCCATAGGTCAAGGTGACTGTTAAGAAGTAAGGGATAGGTAAAGGGAGCTGCTGGAGATGAAAACCATATGGGTGAATCATAGATCATTTAACCAAGGTAGAGTGGCCAGAATGAAGGTGACTTTGGGCACAAAATGACTGTTTTGGGGTAATGTTAAGTTGGAAATTGGGACCACCAGGATGGCAACAGAGATAAGACTGCAGATGAGGAGAGGTGATCTCTGATGAACTTTCCTGCTGATTTCAGTTTTCCAAAGCCATCACTTGGAACCTAGTCAATCTTAGCTGTCAGATTGAATTACCACTACATGGCCCTCCACTTGATTGTTACAATTCCAAGTCCTTTCCTAAGGTTCCTCTGCTCTTCCAATTTCTTGATTGCTTCTAGTTAAATAGTTGTATAGACTTTCTCCTGGGCTCTGGTCCAGCATTATTCAGGGAAAAGATCATAAGTTTGATTGCCTGCTCTACCACTTTCAAGCCATGTGGTCTTGTGCAAATTATTAAACTTCTCTGAGCCTTGGTTTACTAATCTTTGCAAGTGACCATAACAATAACTTGACCACATTCTTTTTTGAAATTTAAATAAGATGCAGTGCTTAGCCTAGCACAACAATAGATGCTCAGCAAATGTTAAATTTGTTCACTCATCAATTTTGAAAATTAGAATCTATTGAAGTTGGAAATAAACCTCGAGACTCTCTCACCCAATTCTATCGAATTTAAGATGAGAAAACTGCAAATATATAGCCAGTTAATGGCAATCTTTGGACTTCATGTTCTCATGTTTAACTTTATACCGGACTCCTTCCTTCCAACTTGTTTATAATAATCTCCAGCCTTGCATATAGTAAGCACCACAGCTCTATTGGGTTTCCTGGGGGAAGATAGGAAAATGAGGGCAGTATTGACTATCTATTACTACATAACAAGTTACCTCAAACTTAGTGGTTTAAAAAAATGCACATCTATTAGTTCCATTTCTGTAAGTCACAGGTCCTGGTGCAGCTTAGCTGAGACCTCTGCTCAGGGCCTCAGAAGGCTACAATAAAGGCTTTTCCCATCTGGAGTTTTAAATAGGGAAGAATTTGCATACAAGTTCACTTGGGTTTCTTGCAGAATTTATTTCCTTCTTTTTGTAGGACTGAGGTGTCCATTTTCTCACTGGCTGTCAGCTGGTGGCCACTCTCAAAAACTGGAGGCCACTCAAGGCTGATGCCATCTGGCCCCCTCACATGTGCACTCACAACATAACATCTTAACCCCTTCAAAGCCAACACGGGAGAGTGTACCTGTCTGCCAGCAACCGGCAAATATACAGTAATGGGATATAATTACTGAAGTGATGTCTCATCACTTCGCCATATCCCATTGGTTAGAACAAATCCAGGTCCCACTCACACCTTAGATGGGAGATTGATTACACAGGGCATGAGGTCAGGGATTGGAGATCAGGGAACATCTTAGAATTCTGTTCTGCAGATATCATGGCAGGTTTCATTGTGAGGGTGTCATAGAGCACAGTCTGGTTGGTCCTCAGCCTGCTCTCATCACAACCCAACACACCGTATTGCTTTCAGGGGAGCTGTATCTGCAAGGGCTCTGGAATGACTGCTGGAGTCAGACCCAAGGAACCCTCAGGAGACCAGTCAGAAGCATAGTGACACCAAAGGACATATTTTTTGCTGGTGGCAACAAAACATATGTGCATGTACAAATGTGTGCATGTGGAAAGAGAGAGAAAGAGAGAGAGAGAGAGATAGCGAGAGAGAGAGAGAGAGAGAGTTTATCAGAGGGGGTCTTTCCTTAGGGCACATGAAGAGACACTGCCTGCTATTCTGGCATTTTCTAAAGTGGCCTTTTCCTGAATTGTTGGTACACTCTGTGACATGAGTCACTCTGCCTCTTTATTAAAAATCCATCTTCTCCAATTGAGGCAAAACAAATATTTACCCATGTCTAACTCTGGTCTCAGCCATGGCAAATGTCTGTGTCTTCTCCATGGACCTATTTAAACCCACTGGGTGTGGCTACAAAAGGAACACATTCTGCTTCTTTTTGATCCTTCTGGGGTTGAGAAACTGGAAGGTGCTTTCTCTGTCTCCAGGCCCCTTCCTGGAGTGAATCCTGCCCACCACCACTTGACTGCTCTTCTTGAAACTGCTTTCACCATGCTACTTGTTTGCTCTTCCTGACTAAGTTCACATCATTCATCTTACCCTTTAAGACCTACCAAGCTTTGTAAGCCCCCACCGCACCCCCACTCAGTACCTTTTCTTCTTACATACTATAATTTCCTATTGCTACTCAACACCTAGGGCATGTTACGTCTGAACAATGCCAGTTGCCATACATCTGCTAGTGTGGGTCCACTGTTACCCTCCCGTCCTACCAAAGTCCCCTCC